AGTAGTAGTAGTAGTAGTAGTAGTAGTAGTAGTAGTAGTAGTAGTAGTAGTAGGCCAAAGACTTTAGTTCCATTCCTGAGAGGGGACAATTTTTTATCGAGGATCTTGATCTTAGTCTTTTTGTTGGGACATTTTATCCTTCTCAGCAGGGGGTCGACCTCCGATTCCTTTGATAGCCAAAGGGGTGTAAAAATAAATGTGTCGTGAAGTGATGGAATCAGGTGTTCGTCAGTTATTGGGCATATGGGGTTACTGGTACCATCTTAAAGCCTGTTCATTTGCCTTGGTTTCGGTGAAAACAATATCCATCTATGTTGAACAGAAGTCGAAATATTTGCGATTAAAGGAGGTCAAGGTCGTCTGGTTCCAGAGGTGAAATTGGCAAGAAAATGTCCGCCAAAGTTTGTCATTTCCATAGCTTAAAACTGAATATTAACATTTTTTGTGCCTTTGAAGAATGTTTTAACGAAACAATACAGAAATGTGTTTTTAAAATGATATAAAGGTGTTGAGCCCAAAAAAAGAAGAAATTTAGAAAACAAATTGCCCAACGGTCAGAAAAAAACAACAATTTCTTTGATTTCATTATTTTGACGAGCGCCTGATTTCACCACGATGCCTCACATATTTACATAGGACAATAACACAGTTGGATCAATAACGACCCTCTTGAGACCCACCTGAGTCATCCTCACCGATCCGCAGCCCCTGAGTATGGCCGCCTGTCCAACTACCATGCTGATGAGTATGTCGGCACACTTCTTAATTGCTTTGTTTTTAATCTGAAACGAATGGGCAAAAACAATGTAATATAGTTGTGGTTGTTATACTTGTACCATCCCTCGTTGTGGTTGTTATAGCATCCCCCGTTTTGTCTGTTGGCAACCCTTGTTTTGTTTCTTAGCAACACTCTTTTTGTTTGTTAGCAACAGTCTTTGTTTCTTAGCAACACTCTTTTTGTTTGTTAGCAACAGTCTTTGTTTCTTAGCAACACTCTTTTTGTTTGTTAGCAACAGTCTTTGT